TGCAAGGCAAGCGCTCTACCACTGAGCCACCTTCCCAGCCCCTAGGTAAGCACTCTTATCACCGAGCTACATCTTCAGCCATGGTTGTTTTTTTAGACAGGGTCTTTTCTGTAGCACCATCCGGATTGGAACTCATAATTCTGCTGTCTCCCAGATCCCCCATGTGGGGGTCACAGGTATACACCACCGTTTCTGGCACTCTTGTGTTTTGTCTGCCATGGATTTCTACCACCTCTATTCCTCTTCTAGAAATCTTTTCTGCCCTCCTTTCTCCACTTCCTGCACCGTTTATTGAATGCTTTTTCCGGGCCAGCTTCTCTAGAGGGAAAAGCCGAGTACAGATGAATGTGGTTTCTAACCCCTTGGGCTCATGGGGTTGACTTTAGCCACAGAATTGGACAAATGGATTTAAAATCATGAGGGCTGCAGAGTCTACCAGAGAGGCCCCTGGGACAAGAGAAGCCCCTGGGACCAGAGAGGCCCCTGGGAGCAGTGACCTTGACATTTGAGTGAAGATTGGGAAGTTTGAATGGGACCCTGAGGGCCAGTGGAAATCCCTGGCCAGGAAGGAAGAACAGTAAGCAGGCCAGAAGGTCTTATGACATTTCTCCTAGCCTTTATGGGGCGCTTTCTGTTTACCAGGCCCTCTCAGTTGCCTGGGTTATTGTATAGACTCCCATTTGGCAGCTGAGAAAATGGAACGGCAGGGCTGGGAAAGTGGCTCAGTGGTAGAGCACTTGCCTTGCATGCATGAGGCCCTGGGTTCGATTCCTCAGCACCACATAAGTAGAAAAAGCCAGAAGTGGCACTGTGGCTCAAGTGGTAGAACACTTGCCTTGAGCTGAAGAGTGAGGCACAGCGCCCAGGCCCAGAGTTCAGGCCCAGACTGGCAAAAAGAAAGAAAGAAAGAAAATGGAAGGGCAGACGTTTGTAACTTGCTCAGATTGGCCTCTCTAGGAGTTAGCTGCATTGGGGTGTGGCCCTGTCTTTCTCACCCCAGTCTGACCTGCCACTGAACATTATGCCTCGCTGAGCACATGCCCCAGCAGGAAGAGGCAGGCGTGTTTGAGGAACTGAAAGATGGACTGGGAAACTTTCAGAGGTTAGCAGGAGACCGAGCCCTCTGGGCCACCCCAGGGGCTACTGGGAGCCTCAGGAGAGGTCAGGGCTCTGGCAGGCCTGTATCCGGTCTCTGTTTCTAAAGGCCCTCTTTCCCCCTCAGATGTGGTGATCTGCTGGCACCTACCGCAGCCTCCCTCCCTGTCGGTCGCCTCATTCCACGCTCCAGTGGGCCTGGGCCCCCCACGCCATCCCGACCACCATGTCGACCTCATCATTGCGCCGGCAGATGAAGAACATCGTGCATAACTACTCGGAGGCAGAGATCAAGGTCCGGGAGGCCACAAGCAATGACCCTTGGGGCCCGTCAAGCTCGCTCATGTCTGAGATTGCTGATCTCACCTACAACGTTGTGGCCTTCTCTGAGATCATGAGCATGATCTGGAAGCGGCTCAATGACCATGGCAAGAACTGGCGCCATGTCTACAAGGTCAGCGCCGTGGGGTGGTCCCCTGAGGACTGTCCATGCACATGAAATCTGTTGTCCAGTGAAAGCAACACATGGGGCTCTGCTTCAAAGCTGAGGATGCTTCATTCCCTCATGTAAATGGCATAGGTAGAGTTGGCATGTAACGTGTGTGTGTACGTACGTACGTACGTACATATGTGTGTGTACATGTACCCATGCACATGTATGCATCAGTACTAGGGCTTAAACTCAGGGCCTGGGTGCTTGCTGTTCTTTAGCTTATTTGCATAAGGCTGGTGCTCTGCCACTTGAGCCACAGTTCCATTTCCAGCTTTATTGGGAGTTCATTGGAGATAAGAGTCTCATGGACTTTCCTGCCCAGGCTGGCTTTGAACCGCCTCCCTTGGAGCTCAGTCCCCTTGAGTAGCTGGGATCACTGGTGTGAGCCATTAGCACTCAGCTCCCAAAGAATTCTGGCCCATGGTTGGCTGGGAATGTTGAACATGTGGGCCAGAATGTGCAAGTTGAGTAGTGTTTCTGGGAGTTTCAAGCATGTGATAGAAGTCTGCTTTCGTATATGTGGTCTGTTGTAGACTCAGGCTCTGCAGGCCCAAGGGGGCCCATAGGGCATGTTCCTTCCTGGTGTCTACTTGTTACTTGGCTTGGAGAAACTGAGTTGCAGCCTTTGGAGGTTGTCTAAAGCAGACGGTGTCTCCTTTACTTCTTTACCTAGATGACCCCAGGCTGTTGCCTACCTCAGGCCCGGGCACAGGTGATTGGCTTCCTGATCTGGGTATATCAGCTGGTGACTATCATTTATCTGACTTGTTGGGAAAGGCAGAGCCCCAGGGACAGATAGATTAAACAGGCTACTGCTCCTGAGAGTCAGGGGAGGGGGTTGAGGAAGAGAAGCACTGGGGACCCTTTGATTGACAGAATTGTCACGTATCTCGATTGTAGTGGTGATTATATGCCCTGCAGTGGGATTGTGAGAGCTCAGACTGTAATATGAGTGGGTTTGGTCTGAGTCCCTAATTTAAAGCAGAGAAAGGACCTTTTCTCTATCAGGATGTAAAATATTGGTCATGTTTTCCTTTTACTTATTATTACTTGTTTTTGTCGGTCGTGGGTCTTGAACTCTGGGCCTGGGCACTGTCCCTGAGCTCTTCAGCTCAAGGCAAACACTCTACCACTTGAGCTACAGTACCACTTCCAATTTTCTGGTGGTTTCTTGGAGATAAGTCTCAGCCTTCTGAGTAGCTAGGATGATGGGTGTGAGCCTCCTGCGCCCGGCATGTTTTCCTTTTATAAGTGCACAGTATTCCGAAGCATGGATTGGTTGTTACTTAACTAGTTTCCTGTTGATGTTCCGAAGTGACTTGCAGTGTGCTGCTTTCTCAGCAAGAGGGCTTTACTATCCTCAGGGCTCCAAGAGTGGGTTCCAATTTAACTGCCGCTCTGAGTCTGGGAGCCCGGCATTCCCCTTTGGGTTACTTGCTTCCCTGTTCCAGGGCAGCCAAGGGCATGGCATGGAGGCAGTGGCTGGCTTGATGTGGCCCGACCTCCACACACAGAGTTGGTTTCAGACCCAGCTCTGGCCCGTAAGTGTCGGCACGCCATTGCACACTGCCACTGCATGCTGCGTCTGTGCTGAGGCTTGGTTGGCATACATGAAGCACCAAAAGCTCTCAAGGACCCAGCTGACTCTGGCTGAGCTTCCTGGCTTGGTTGGTCTTGGAGACTTTCTGCCAAAGTAGAGATAGCTCCCTCTGCTCTGAGACGCAGACCCCGAGGCCCAGAGAGGTGGAACTTTTATCTAAAAGGCCCGCTTTCGCCAGGCGCCTGTAGCTCATGCCTGTAATCCTAGCTACTCAGGAGGCTGAGATCTGAGGATCAAGGTTCAAAGCCAGCCGGGGCAGGAACATCTGTGAAACTCTTATCTCCAATAAACCATTAGAAAACCGGAAGTGGCGCTGTGGCTCAAGCAGTAGAGCGCTCGCCTTGAGCTGAAGAGCACAGGGACAGTGCCCAGGCCCAGAGTTCAAGCTTCATGACAGACAAAAACAAAACAACAAAAATAAATAAAATAAAAGGCCTGCTGTCACGTCTAGAGATTTGATTTAATTGCTCTGCCTCTGTGTTGCTACATGTAGCAGTTTCCTTTTTTTTTTTTTAAGTAATTGTATTCATTGGTTTATTTTTGCAGTTATAGGAGCTTTTTTTGGGGGGGGGGTCCTGTCGTGGGGCCTGAACTCTGGGCCTGGGCGCTTTCCCTCAGCTCTTCAGCTCAAGGCTAGTGCTCTACCACTTGAGTCACAGTGCCACTTCCGGCTTTTTTCTTATTGCTTATGTGGTACTGAGGAATCGAACCCAGGGCCTCAGGATGCAAGGCAAGCGCTCTACCACTGAGTCACCTTCCCAGCCCCTCCTTTTATTTTTAATTGCCTCACTCTGAATTTGTTATAGATTCTTTAGGTATTGTACTGTGGATACACTTGATCTGTTTCCTAGTTCATGGTTTTAACTGTAGCTCCAAAGTCCAGGGAGCCATGAAATGAGAAGTTTCTCATAATCCTTTTGGTTTGGAATGAGGTAAATTCTCTTCAGTAGTGTATGGCCTCATTCTGCGCACCTGCCTCTTGGAGAGCTCTATCGGCAGGTGTGTGCAGCCTTCCTGGTTTCATTCCAAAGTGCAAGGCCCTGGCCTGATTCATGAACGTGGTGATGCACTTAGCAATGTTTGCTTTTTCCTTTCTCCTCTGAAAGTGAGCACCTTTTGGCCCAGTTAAAAACTAATCTATGATTTTGGATGGAATACTCTCCATACTCCCCAGAAAGCCTTTCTAGAGACAGATGTGGCAAGAGCTTGTCATCCCAGAACTCTTGGAGGCTGATGCAGGAATTGGGGACTTCAAGACCAGCTTGGGCTACAGAGCCAGATGCTGTTTCCAAAGAAAAAGGTCTTTCAGAATCTAGTTCAGGGAGATATTGGTAGCCGACAGCAACATTTACTGCAAAAGTGATTGTTCAGAGGCAAGTGAGCTGTAGTGTTTGGCAACCTCCATGTTCTACACCTGAGTGCCTGGATGTTTTGTTGGTGGTAGGAACGCTGTGAGTCCCCCTTACTCTGCCCTGAGAGAGCCTGGGCCTAGCTGCCATTGGCATCTCCCCTTCCAGGTGCCAGCTGTCCTCTGGGTGGTCCTGCAGTGCTGGCATGGCTTAGGCTTCTAGAGGGGGAGGAGGCTGTGAGGCGCCTCCAGGGTACCTGACAAGTAGTTTGCCTCTTACTTTGGATCTTCCTCTGTCTCTATCTCTTGTCTCTCTGTCTCTGTCTTTCTTTCTGTCATGGGGCTTGAACTCAGGGCCTGGGTACTGTCCCTGAGCTCTTAGTCTTAAGGCTAGCACTTTACCACTTTGAGTCAGTGTGTGCCACTTCCAGTTTTTGAGCTAAGAGTCTCACAGGGCTGGCCTCTGGCGGCTGACACCTGTAATCCTAGCTACTCAGGAGGCTGAGATCTGAGACTGCGATTCAAAGCCAGCCCAAAGCCAGCCCAAGCAGGAAAGTCCATGAAACTCTTATGTCCAATAAACCACTAGAAAACTGGAAGTGCCAAGTGGTAGAGCGCTTGCCTTGAGCTGAAGAGCTGAGGACAGTGTCCAGGCCCTGAGTTCAAGACCCACGACCGACAAAAAAAAAAGTCTCAGGTATTTTTCTTTCTGGGCTGACTTCAAACTGTGATCTTCAGATCCCAGCCTTCTGAGTAGCTATCAGCACCTGCTGTTTGGATTTCTTTTTGTTGTTGTTGGTTGTGGGGCTTGAACTCTGGGCCTGGGCACTGTCCTCAGCTCTTCAGTTCAAGGTGAGTGCTTTACTGCTTGCACCACAGCACCACTTCTGGTTTTCTCTTTTTTTTTTTTTTTTGGGGGTCCAGTCGTGGGGCCTGAACTCTGGGCCTAGGCACTGTCCTTCAGCTCTTCAGCTCAAGGCTAGTGCTCTACCACTTGAGTCACAGCGCCACTTCCGGGTTTTTTCTTTTTGCTTATGTGGTGCTGAGGAATCGAACCCAGGGCCTCAGGCATGCAAGGCAAATGCTCTACCACTGAGCCAACTTCCCAGCCCTGGTTTTCTGTTGGTTTATTGGAGATTAGAGTCTCATGGCCTTTCCTGCCTGGGCTGGATTTGAACCACGATCCTCAGATCTCAGCCTCCTGAGTAGCTAGGATGATAGGCGTGAGCCACCGCTCCTGGCTGGATTTCTTTTGAAAGACATGGAGCAAGCTTAGTGGCAGTATGTAATGTCTGGACAGACCTTGTGGCCGTGTATCTTGTATTTTTATTCACATATGTGGGACGGTGGCAGGACTTCGCGTGACCTTTTGAAGGGGCCTGGCCTCTTGCTCCAGCCCAGTTCAGCAGTGTGTGCCACACCCAGTGTTGGGCACCACACATCTGTCTGGAGATGAAGGATGGAGTCCCCAGTCCCTGGGGGCTGTGGTCCCGGTCTCTGGACCGCAGCCTGCATGGCCCCCATGCTGGCTATCCATGCCGAGCCTCTGCTCCCCCTTTCTCTGTGCATCGTGCTGTGTGCATGGCAGGTTCTTACCAACAGGTGACAGTTAGTGGTGGGGCCTGAACCTGGCACTGCCCAGGGGTTGGGCCTGCTTTGGTGTCCAGTGTGATGGTGTGTGCCCAACAGGCCATGACGCTGATGGAGTACCTCATCAAGACGGGCTCTGAGCGTGTGTCCCAGCAGTGCAAGGAGAACATGTACGCTGTGCAGACGCTCAAGGACTTCCAGTACGTGGACCGGGATGGAAAGGACCAGGGCGTGAACGTGCGGGAGAAGGCCAAGCAGTTGGTGGCCCTGCTGCGAGATGAGGACCGGCTGCGGGAGGAGCGTGCCCATGCACTTAAGACCAAGGAGAAGCTGGCCCAGACCGCCACGGGTGAGTCCCTACCTCCTCCGGCAGCCGAGCCTGTCTTGCCTTGCCCTCCGAGCCCCCACGTCCACTGGCCCACGGCGTTTGCCGAACACTTCTTCAGGGCTGCTTCTGGCCAGAGGCCTTTTGAAGTGCTTCATGTTTTGGGGTCACTGTGAGCCCCTACTTGTAGATGTGAGGACATGGTGGGGCCATGGGCAGGTTTTTTTTTTTTTTTTTTTGGTTGGTTGTGGGTCTTGAACTCGACCTGGGCGCTGTCCTTCAGATCTTCAGCTCAAAGCAAGCACTCTACCATTTGAGCCACAGTGCCACTTCCACCTTTTCTGTGTATGTGATGCTGAGGAATTGAACCCAGGGCCTCATGCATGCGAGGTGAGCACTCTACCACTGAACCCCCTTCCCAGCCCCTTGGTTGTTTTTTTTTTTTTTTTTTTTTTGGGTCCCGTCATGGGCCTGAACTCTGGGCCTGGGCGCTGTCCCTCAGCTCTTCAGCTCAAGGCTAGCGCTCTACCACTTGAGCCACAGCGCCACCTCCGGCTTTTTTCTTTTTGCTTATGTGGTGCTGAGGAATTGAACCCAGGGCCTCATGCATGCAAGGCAAGTGCTCTACCACTGAGCCACCTTCCCAGCCCTTGGTTGTTTTTTTTTTTAGCACAGGGTCCCGCTGTGCAGCCCTGGCTGGCATCAAACCCTGGCTCCCGCCTCTGCCTCCTCAGGCCTAGGTCACAGGTGCGCATCACCACACCCAGCAGCATTGGATAGATTTTTTTTATTTGCATCCTTTGCTTCCCTCCCTCCGTCTGTCCCTTCTTTCCTCTCCTGGGGTCAGACCCAGGCCTTGTGCGTGCTGGGCGAGCCATATGGGAGCACTTAACCTTGTGTGAGGGCTGTGACTAGGCATCTCCACCTTGCTGCATGTCCTCCACGTGCTCCTCCATTCGAGCCTTGCCTGCCTGCCCGCCTTCTAGTCTCCCGTGCTCACCGCCCCACCCCTGCCCAGCCCGGCGCCCTGCAAGCTCCCCTCATGGACTGTGACCTTTGAATTTCACATCACTTCTATGTGCTTGATAAATTCTTCTTCCTTGATGTCCTCCAACCATTTAAAATGTAAAAGTTTTGTCACTATGGCCTTGCAGGCCCAGTGCCGGCCGCAGGCTGAGAGAGGGCAGCGGGGCATTTGTCTCGGAGGCCCCAGGGAGATAGGAATGCTGACCAGCCTCTTGAGGAGGTGGGTGGGAATGGGGAGCCTGAGTGTTGGCCTTCTGTCCTTATTTAGCCTAGGGGGGTCCCCAGCACCCACCTGCTGGGGGTTCTCCCAGGTCCAACCCAGGGCTCCCTCACCGCTCAGATGGGGTCCCAGGACAGCTCCCGGGAGGGGCCGAGGCCTTGGTGTGGTTAGCGGCGCCTGGGGTGCAGTGGTGGGCAGGAACCCCGGAATCCTGGATGAGGGCTGGGGTACTGGCGCAGGCAATGTGGAGAGGGTAGAGTGGGTTAGGGTCTGCTGTGGGCGGGGCTAAGCCCAAGGCTGTGGACAGAGTCTGCCCTCTGCCCTCTGACTGCTGGGGGAACAGGCAGAGTCCTAGGAAGCCAGTGGGCAGTGCCCAAGCCTGGCACTGTGGGAGGGGAGGAGAAGATGCCGGCTCAGCAGTCGTCCTCCCCCACTGGGGATGGTGCGGCCTCTCTGGGGCCCCAGCCCTTCCATCGCCTTGTCGCACTCCTGGAACCAAGGGCTGCTTGTCCATTGCTCTTCTGATGGTGGGGCTTGGGCCCCTGCAGGCTGACCCATGCTTCTCCCCTAAGAGCTGCCACTCTCGCTCTCCTTCCCGGAGCAACATTTCCAGAGGGAGCCTCCCTCCCCTCCGGGACTCCAGAGACCCTGCCTTTGGGCAGACCTGGACCCTGTGCCCCTGCCCCCTCCCCCCCAACCCTGGCCCCACCCAAGGGTGGGGCCTGCCCTTTACCCTCCTCACCTCTCTGGTCCCTACCTCCCCCCCATCTTAGCCTTTGGAGGCTGTGGGGGAGGGGTGGGGACCAAAGGCCCTTGGTTCACCTGGGATCCCATGGCTCTGCTGTCCCGCAGCCTCATCTGCAGCCGTGGGCTCAGGGCCCCCACCTGAGGCGGAGCAGGCCTGGCCACAGAGCAGCGGGGAGGAGGAGCTGCAGCTCCAGCTGGCCCTGGCCATGAGCAAGGAGGAAGCCGACCAGGTACCCACACCCCGGCTTCTGCGGGGCCCCACTTCTGTCCTGCCATCCTGTCTCCATGCCTTCCCTCCCCTCCCACTCCCCCCAGCCTCTTCCTCACCCGCATCCTCCCTCCTACCTCCACCCGCCTCTTTTCTCCGGCTCTTTCCGGTCCCTGACCTGGCCACTTTCCTCTCTAGGAGTTGGCCTGCCCCTTGGCGTTTGGGTTTCCATTCCTCTCTGTGTGCCCCTCTCTTTTCTGGCCCTGTCCAGCCCTGGCTCTGTGCCTGTCTGCCCATCTACTCTTGTTCTTTTCTGGCCACCTGTGCCTCTGCCTGTGCCAGCCACCCTGCCCCACCCCTCACACTCTCTCTCCCCCAGCCCCCGTCCTGCGGCCCCGAGGACGACGTCCAGCTCCAGCTGGCCCTTAGTTTGAGCCGAGAGGAGCATGATAAGGTCAGAGCGGCTTCCCTGCCCTTCCTCCAGCACCTCTCCGCCACGGGTGTGTGGACATGCACACACTCACTACCCACGTGCACCCACCACCCGGTGGACGCCCAGCCTGAGGTGGACCTAGGCCCACAGCAGGCTCCCAGTTTAGATGGTGCTCCTTAAGGCCTGCCGAAGCGGCAGACAGTACTCCCCAAGGCCTGCCGGGGCGGCCTGGGGCTCCCTCCTCTCCTTCTCCCTCCCTCCTCCTCCCTCTCTCCCCCTCCCCCTCAGGTGTCCACCCATTCCATACATTGTCCACATGCTGTGTGAAGTTTGCAGCTGCATCACCAGGCTTGGGAGGATGGTTGGGGAGGACGGCGCGGCCTCCATCTGTGCGGGGCCTGTGTGGTAACCGCTGCCCCCGCCGGCTGCCCTTGTGTCCCACAGGAAGAGCGGATCCGCCGAGGGGATGACCTGAGGCTGCAGATGGCCATAGAGGAGAGCAAGAGGGAGACAGGGGGCAAGGAGGAGGTGAGCAGCCCCAGCGCCCAGACAGCCACAGGCCCCTTGGCCACAGGAGGCAGGGCTCCCTTATCCTGTTGTCTCTGACGCCTCGAAAGCGTGGCACCCACATCACACTGTGGCCACAGTCCTTGCTGTGGCCGCCATTCCACACGCAGCCACTCTGGCAACCTTCCAAGAACCCGGCCTGGCTTCCACGCACCACCGTGTCTTCTCATGCAAGGTTCTGGATGCTGGAGGTCACCTGGGCCCTTGAGTCAAGGCTGAGCTCGCTCAGGCCGGGGGTGGTAATGGGCAGCCTCATTCCTCTGGCCTCCATGGATGGCCTCCTCCAGCCCCTGTGGGGTCCTCTAGAGGAGGAGAGGACCTGAGGTGCCGGTAGGTATTCAGCGGCCCCCCAGAGGCTCACCCATGTACCCCCTCGCCCTCAGCTGCCTCCACCTAGGAGACTTGTGTGGGGAGGAATGGATGTGGGGTGGAGTTCCTCGATCTTCAGAGAGGTGGGAGTTCTGGCTGGTGGGCTTCGGGGGGCCTGGCAGGGCTCCCCAGGAGGTGAGGTCAGGGATGCTCAGCTGAGGTGGGTGGGAGTGGCTGGCAGGGCAGGGCGTGGCCCATCCTCACAGGGCGTGGCCTGGCTTCCATGGTGGGGGGTTTTGAAGGATCACTCAGGTGCTATGCAGGGAATGCTGGGAGTGGGGTGGTGGGCAAGGTAGAAGGAGGGGGTGGACCCTGCGCTGAGGGGAGGGTATTCGAGCATGGGTGTGTGTGGGGGGGGCGGGGCTAGCTCCATCTCCTAAGCGGGTGGGTCTCCCCACAGCTGTCTGTGTCACCCCTCTCCTCTTTCCATAGTCCTCTCTCATGGAACTTGCCGACGTCTTCACGGCCCCTGTCCCTCCGCCAGCCTCAGCCTCTGACCCCTGGGGAGGCCCAGCGTCGTTGCCTGCTGCTGTCCCTGCCTCGGACCCATGGGGGGGGCCTGCCGTCCCCCCAGCTGCTGACCCCTGGGGTGGCCCGCCCCCCACGCCTGCCTCTGGGGACCCGTGGAGGCCTGCGGCCTCAGCTGGGTCATCTGCGGACCCCTGGGGCGGGGCCCCAGGCGCTGTGGCTGGGGAGGGGCCCCCGGCGGACCCTTGGGGAGGCTCTGACAGTGAGTACTGCCCCAGGACACCCCACCCTGCCCCACGCTGTGCACTCATTGGTCACACAGGCCACTAGGACCATCGGAGTGGGGCTGGGACAGCTGGGGGTTTGCCCATGAAGAAGGGGGTGGGGAGTTAGGAAGGGGGAGGGCAGGACTGTGTGGAAGGAAGACCTGTGAGTACCACATAGTGGCAGGTCGTGGCCCTAGCTGTCCAGTTGGAAGCCAGGTGCCGCAGCCCCTCATGAGCATCCCTCCTCCCTTAGGTGGGGCCCCGGTTGGCGGAGCCCCAGCGTCTGATCCCTGGGCGCCTGCGCCAGCCTTCTCAGACCCCTGGGGTGGCTCCCCTGCCAAGCCCAGCACCAATGGCATGACAGGTATGGTGGCTCTGCGTTGCGTGTGCTGCCCGCAAAGGAGGGAGGGAGGGATGGGGGGGGAGGGGAGGGGGGTGGCGGCTCAGGGCCGGGCGCTCCTGAGCAGAACGCCTACCCCACAGCAGCTGGTGGCTTTGACACCGAGCCTGATGAATTCTCAGACTTCGACCGACTCCGCACGGCCCTGCCCACCTCTGGGAGCAGCACAGGTGAGCTGCCTTCCATCAAGAAGTCCCTGCCATGCCCTGGCCCCACCCCACCCGACCCGCACCCTGCCCAGCCACACTCTGGGCAGTGAGTGCCCCACACCGGCATTTCCTGTGATTCTCACTCAGAAAGGTGGCCATGGAGGTTCAGGGTTCCCTCAGGAGTTTCCCCTCCCCCTTCCCTCCCCACCTCCTCCCCCTCCCCCTCCTAGGGTGGGGCTTGGGTGCTGGCATCATCTGCACGCTGCCCTCTGCAGTGTTGGTTGCTGGGCACACTGGCCAGCCTTGTGCAGGCCAGAACCCTGCAGCAGACAGCTCCAGTGCCTTTGGGTCTTGCTGCGAACCCCACAGGGTCCAGGTCCCTTCCGAGCTTAGCAGTTGCATTTGCCCACAGGAACTGATGTCCATTTTAGTCACTTTTTTTTTTTGGTTGATGTTGCCAGACCTGAGGCTTGAACTCAGGGCCTGGGCACTGTCCCTGAGCTTCTTGTGCTCAAGGCCACCACTCTACCTCTTGAGTCCCAGCGCTGCTTCTGGCTTTTCCTGTGTATGTGGTCCTGAGGAATCGAACCCAGGGCTTCATACATACAAGGTGAGCACTCTACCACTGAGCCACATTCCTGGCCCTTGGTCACGCCTTTATTTATTTTTCTGTCAGTGGTGGGGCTTGAACTCTGGGCCTGGGCAGTGAGCCACAATGACACTTCCAGTTTCCTGGTGGTTAATTGGAGACAAGAGTCTTGCAGGCTTTCCTGTCCAGGCTGCTTTGAACTGTGATTCTCAGATCTCAGCCTCCTGAGTAGCTAGGATGACAGGCATGAGCCACCAGTGCCCAGCCCTTGTCACTTAATTCATTTTTGGAAGCCTGGCTAGTCTCCTGTAAGGCTGTGAGTCCAAGTGTGTGCCCTGCACCAGGCCTCTTAATTTTGTTGTTGTTGTTGTTGGTCGTGGGCGCTGTTCCTCAGCCCTTCAGCCCAAGGCTAGTGCTCTACCATTGAACCACAGCACCAGCCTCATGCATGGAGGCAAGCACTCTACCATTGATCCACCTTCCCAGCCCTCTTTTTTTTTAATGAAGTAAGCTTCTATTGTGGTGCTGATTATAGCATAGAAGCAAGTTGCTGCCAAGTTAGCTCTGAAGGGAGAAAGTACCCAGCACTTCCTCTCCTCCCTTGACTGCTTGAGACTGGCTGCCATGTCTGCAGGCATCACTCCTCTCCACCTCCCCCCTCTCCCCCCCCCCCACGGAGATGTGTGCCTTCTCCCCACATTAGGATTCTTTCTCTATTGGAAAAGTTCAAGCAAGCATCCTCTGCCGCCATTGCCTGCAGAGTGAGCGGATTTGCTTGCTGGTGTGGCCTGGGGTTGTATAGGAGAAGCTCCCTGTTTTCAGCAGCAGCCACTACTTGTAGTGAATTTCCCCATGTGTCACTGCTCAGGTTGACGTGACAGCCTGATCACAGCACTCCAGGCCCGGTTCCCACCCCCCTCCCCCCCTGCCTCCCCCCCTCACCTTTAGTCCATCCCGACCCCTTCCAGGGGAGCTGGAGCTGCTTGCTGGAGAGGTGCCTGCCCGCAGCCCCGGGGCGTTTGACATGAGTGGGGTCGGGGGGTCTCTGGCCGAGGCGGTGAGCAGCCCCCCACCGGCTGCTGCCCCCACCCCCACCCCCCCCACTCGGAAGACGCCGGAGTCCTTCCTGGGGCCCAATGCAGCCCTTGTCGACTTGGACTCGTTGGTGAGCCGGCCGGGCCCCACGCCGCCGGGAGCCAAGGCCTCCAACCCCTTCCTGCCGAGTGGTGAGCATGTCCCCGGGCAGGGGGCAGGATGGGGGGGGGGCTCCCTTTGCTGCTCACAGATGCATGCTGCCTCCCCCCCCACGCTCGAGGACCACTCTCCATGCACCTTCTTATCTCCCTGCAGGAGCCCCCGCCACGGGCCCCTCTGTCACCAACCCCTTCCAGCCCGCACCGCCCGCCTCGCTCACCCTGAACCAGCTCCGCCTCAGCCCCGTGCCCCCCGTCCCTGGAGCGCCTCCCACCTACATCTCCCCCCTTGGTGGGGGCCCTGGCCTGCCACCCATGATGCCCCCCGGCCCCCCAGCCCCTAACACTAACCCCTTCCTCCTATAATCCGGGGGGAGGGAGGCTGGGCCCGCAGGCTGCCCGTCCTGCCCCCCTGGAGACCTTGCTTCCGGGAGATGGGTATTGTGAGTGCATGTGAAATGGGGACCCTCCCCCAGCCCCCTTTCCCTCCTGGGGCCACTCACACTACGTCCCCTTCCCACATCCCCGGCCCTCCTCCCCAGGAGAAACTGGACACGGGGCGTGGGGGAGCTGGCTGGAGGAGGGCCTTTCCCATGGCATTAGAAGGGGGGACCGGGTCCCCCTCACCCTGCCCACCTCCTCCCAAATCAGTGTTTGAGCCTTCTCGTTCTCTGCACCCCTCGGTGAGTCCTCGGTGATGATTTTGGCAACTTCGGGAATAAATGGCAATTCTCACGGTTGTGGCTCCTAAAGTTCCCATGTACGGCAGTGTCTGTGTCCCTCCCAAGCCCCTAGTCTCTCGGGGTTAACAATTGGGACCCCGCCCCTTCTTGACCCTGCTCTGGGGGTGGTGCCAAGGCCTGGTTGGCACTGTGGGGGTCCCTCCCGGGCACTTCAGGGAGAGCTGGGTTATGTGGGGATGAGGGTCAGGTCTGAGGGCTTGGGGGCAGAGGGGAGGTGGCACGTACTCAACACAGGTGTCCACCTGAAGCAGCACCAGTACCTGCACTCCTGCAACACCCTGGGGTGGCACCGCCACCGACCTGCAGGGCCTCCCAGTGTCCAGGAGTGCTGTGTGCACAGTGACCTCAGCACGTCAAGCTGCCAGCATGTATGTCTGCCACTGTGGCTCTGGGCTTCGTGGGGGGAGGGGCACCGTGTGTGGGGGCTGCTGAGGGGGGCGCCATGTTGGGGGTCCACTGCAGCGTTCTGATGCTCCTGGACTTTCTTCCTGGTGGGTCTCCTGTCACTCAGGGCTGCCAGCTCTGCCCAGTGGTGCCAGTGGTTGGAGACTGGGTGGGAGCAGGCAAGGGAAAGGAGACCACACTCTTGCCTCTTGCCGGAGTGGCTCCTGGGCTCAGGGCTACAGGGCCCTGTCACAGATACTGCAAAGAGCCGGGTGTGGAGCAAGAAGCTGGAGTACAGTTCCTGAGTTCAAGCCCTAGTATGCGCATGCGTATACATACACACAAAGGTAAGATGGAAAGGGAGCTAGGGGCCAAGCACATACTTGGGAATGTCACCAGCTTGAAAGACCCTTGTACAGCTCACATACTAATAAACAATGTGAAAGGTGTGGGGGGTGAGGGAGAAGCTGAAGCAGCTGCGTCCCATGCTGTGTGGAGCCCTGGGCGCCACCCTGGGGTAGAGAAAGAAATTGGGAGACCATGTGACATGCTGCCAGCCGGAGGCCCAGGAGCCGGCCTTGTCCCAGACCTTAGCCTCCAAACCATCAAATCTCCCAAGCTACCCAGTCTGTGAGTGTTCAGAAGGTCATCCACACTGCTGGGGGTGCACAGCTGCTCCCCTCCTCAGCTCCTGACATGGACCCTCTGCTGGTTCAAGCTCATCCTGCCCCTCACCCTGTCCCTGCCATGTCCTCTCAGCTGCCGCCCACTTATGATGCTCCCTGACCACATCCACCAGGGGACAGCCGCTTAGCTCTCCCACCCCACCCCATCCCTGAGGAGGTGTTTGCACAGGGCTGGCCCTGGATACTTCCCATGCACCACTGGCTGGCTCCTCCACTATGCTGCTTGTGTGGCAGGGACCTCCAAGCCCCTCCCTTTCCCACTCAGCTTGGAAGGCTCCATGAATTTGCATAAAGCAAGCACAGCCCTGGTAGCCGGGGCAGGGAGTGCACAGGGTTGAGAATCGTAACTCGGCATGATTGGCTGCTGTAGGCCCATGCAAACTCCTAAAGAACCAGTCCAAAAGGAGATTCCCATAGATGCAGATACCTGCTTATTGCTAGGATTTTTCCCCCTTACCAAGACAAGCAAACGTGAAAACAAAAAAAGACCACTGGTGCTGGTGGCTCAGGTCTGTCATTCTAGCTACTCAGGAGGCTGAGATCTGAGGATCACGGTTCAAAGCCAGCCCAGGCAGGAAAGTCTATGAGACTTACCTCCAATAAACCAATAGAAAACCAAAAGTGGTGCTGTGGCTCAAGTGGTAGAATGCTCGCCTTGAGCTGAAGAGCTGAAGGATAGCGCCCAGGCCCAAAGTTCAGGCCCCATGAACTTGGGGCTGGCAAGGTGGTTCAGTGGTAAAGTGCTCACCTAGCATGCATGAAGCCCTGGGTTTGATTCCCCAGTACTACATACACAGAAGAAGCTGGAAGTGGTTTGATTCCCCAGTACCACATACACCGAAAAGGCTGTGGCTTAAGTGGTAGAGTGCTAGCCTTGAACAAAAGAAGCTCAGGGACAGCACCTAGGCCCCGAGTTTAAGGCTCAGCATTGGCTGGCAAAAAAAAAAAAAAAAAAAAAACGCTTTCTTGTGACTGACTGTATGCTGTGTGTCTATCTTTGGTAAATACTTGGTGTGCCCCTGAGGTGAATTTGTTGTTGAGCCAATCGCATGTGCATGGGCACACAGAATAGCTCTTGTTTTCCTTCTTTGAACCATGAGTCATGTCTTTTTTAAATTTATAACTTCCACATGGTAGGTTGACATCACAGAAGATAGGAAGACATGGCAAGTGTATTGAAAAGCTGAGAAGGTGTTAATGGGAGCAGAAGGCTAAATCTAAGTCCCAAGCATGACAACACTATATTTCAAGTGTTTCCTTCCTAATGGAACCATGTGGGTGAAGCAGCCTGATCCTTCCCTGAAGCCCTGGTATGGGTGCCGGGAGCCGTTGGTCATGCTTTTAGGCACAGCAGTGTCCCACAGACAGGCTCATGTCAGAAGGGTTATTTGCCTGGCCCCAGAGGAGCGGAGGGTTGAAGATGTCTCGGCTCACCGCTGCACATTGGCTCAGCGAGGCCTGCTACCCTGGGTTGGTAGTGGGGTCTGACCAATGTTGGCAGCCATGTGAAGACGGGGCTTATCCCCGATGTTGCAGAAGACAGTGCTCTTGATGTCCAGACTGGGAAAAGAGCCGATATTCATGCGGGGGCGGATGGGCTTGGCCATACATCCCAGTCCTGGCCAGTCCCCACGTCCACCTGGCTGGCCCAGCACAGGAACAGCATGGAGTCTCGGCGCCTTTCATCTGGCTGATCCAACCCAGTGGACGGTCCTGAGGCTGTCAGGACCAGGAGGTGGTGGCCATCCACACCCAAGGCCGAGGCTATGCAGAGGAAGAGCAGGCTGGACAGCTGCCTTCTGCTGGCAATCCAGAATACTGGCTCGGCGTGGTTCAGAGGGAGAGCTCAGAGACCTTGAGTTCAAATCCAGTAGCGCCTCCTCCCCAAAGCTAGAAACTTCCTGCAGTCTTTCTGGTTAGGCCAGACTCTCTACATAAGATGAAAATGTAACAAAATGTCTTTCTTCCTCATGGTTGAACTTCTGTTTTTTCACTTTATTATTTGATGGTAGTTTTTTTTTCTTTTTGTAATAGTAATAGGGAAGTTTCTAGAAAGAGAATATGTTGCTATGAACTGAAAGCGGGTCTCCTGCAGGCTGACATTACTTTTAGTGGAGGTGGTAGACATTCCTGATTCCTGACCTCTGGGTTCTGAGTAGCTGGGATTATAGCTGTGGGCTACCAGGCTGGGTTTTACATGGTCCTCACTGCCAGACTGGGATCGCACTCACTGGGCGGCAGGGATTTTCTTTTCCTTTCCTTTTTGTTTTTTTGCCAGTCCTGGGGCTTGAACTCAGAGCCTCGGTGCTGTCCCTCACCAATTCAGCTCAAGATGAGCACTCTACCACTTGAGCCACAGTGCCACTTCCGGTTTTCTGGTGCTGGTTTACTGGAGATAAGAGTCTCATCGACTTTCCTGCCCAGGCTGGCTTTGAACCATGATCCTCAGATCTCAGCCTCCTGAGTAGCTGTGATGACAGGTGTTAGTCACTGGAGCCCAGCAGGTGCAGGGCTTTTTTACTCAAGGTATAGAACCAGCATCAGCTCTCCCTGGGTGTATCAGAGGCCCTGATTCTAAGCAAAGCCCATTGTTAACAATCAAATTCGGTCATGAACCAGAACCTTGGGTAACACATTTTCATATTGAGAAAGTCATATTCTAGGCCTGTGTTGTTAACAGAAATTCAGTGTGGGAGCATTATAAATTTTTATCATCTTTCTATAAATACATAAAGCAATTGTAATCCATTAAAATATATCTATATATGTTTTAATTAGTCAAAATGTTGTTCCCACCTGTGGCATATGCCGGCCTATTGCAAAGCAAGGTTAGGCCAAGAGCATTATGAACCCTTGAAAATGTCCAGGTGATCCTAAGCTATGCTTAGAGGCGGGAACAGCTTTTATGGGGAGATAAAAAAAAAAAATTAGAGCTGGGCATTGGTGGCTCACACATAATCCTAGCTTCTCAGGGGGCTAAGATCTGAGGATCACAGTTCAAAGCCAGCCCAGGCAGGAAAGTCCATGAGCCTTTTTTTTTTTTGTCACGGCTTGAACTCTGGGCCTGGACCCTGTCCCTCACCTCTTCAGCTCAAGACTAGTGTAGTGCTCTACCACTTGAGCCAGAGCACCACTTCCGGTTTTCTGGTGGTTCAGGGAGAGAAGAGTCTCATGGACTTTCCTGCCTGGCTGGCTTTGAACTGCCATCCTCAAATCTCAGCCTCCTGAGTAGCTAGGATGACAGGTGGGAGCCCCCAGTGGCCGGCAGGACTTTTTTTTTTTTTGCCAGTCCTGGGGACTTGAACTCAGGGCCTGGGTGCTGTCCCTGAGCCTCTACCACTTGAGCAACAGCGCCACTTCTGCAATTTTTGAGTAGTTTATTAGAGATAAGAGTATCATGGGGACTTTATCTGCCCAGGCTGGCTTTGAATTGTGATCCTCACGCTTGCTACTGAGGCACCTTTGAGCCCTATTTTTAAAAAAAATTTTTTTTGGTCGGTTGTGGGGCTTGAACTCTGGGCCTGGGCGCTGTCCCTCAGCTCTTCGCTCAAGGCTAACGGTCTATCATTTGAGCCACCGCCCCACTTCCTGTTTTTTTCTGCTTATGTGATGCTGAGGAATAGAACTTAGGGCCTCATGCATGCGAGGCAAATGCTCTACCACTGAGCCAATTTCCCAGCCCTGGTTTTTTTTTTTTTTGAGGCAAGTTTTCCCCCCTTTTGGTTTATATTACTGCTGGTTACATTTCATGTATTAATCTCCTACACAACAGTGCCACGTTCTGCAGTCATCTGTCCATTGTGTTGGTTTGTTTCATTTGCTGTGCAGAAGCTTCTTGGTTTGCCACAGCCCCTCCTTGCTCATTTGTGCTTCTGTTTCATACACGTTTGGAGGTTTGTGGAGGGGCAGAAGGGTCTGTTCT